GGGAGGATTGTGGGGTCCTTGTTGCTCTTTGAACTTGGTTGTTTTCTTGCAGGCGTTTCACTACCCAACTAGGAAACATCATCAGAGCTAGAAGGGAGTGGAGTTTGTTCTGTTTATATATAAGTGCTGATAGAAGAGACTATTTGTAACTCAGGGTTGAAGCGAGGGGTCTTTAGCGTTCTCCGAGTGTGATTATTTTCTTGAAGACATTTGATTACCCAACTAGGTAACATCATCACTGCTTAGAAGGGGGTCAGGAATACAGAGCAAACCTTGAGAGGCACCTCATGTGACATACATCTTTCCATGTGCCTCCCCATTTGATGCACCCGTAACATGTATGCAGGAATCTCTTCCAGCTACTACCTGTCAGGGTTCCGGCGATATCCCTATCATGAGCTTCGAGCCAAGCTTCAAAAGAATCCAAAATATTTATTAGGAGCAACATGTCAGCATTGACCAGTATGAAGCCAACTCTGACACACATGATTTATGGTCACCTGTGACCGTTTCCCCCCTTCCCCCTCAGTGTGTCATAAATCAGATTCTCCAACGAAGCACCTTCATCATCCATCAAATATCCAATGAAAGATTTTCCTGGGCAGAAGATCCGGTAGCCTAGCTACAATCTTTGTAAGGTAAGTGTGGAATGTACTTCTGGTTTTAACTTCTGTACTGCTCCTTCAGGATTTTCCCCCTAGTGCTTATGGCAACTCGAAAACAAGCTTAGGAATGCTTTACGAGTTGACACTATCTATATCAGCAGAGTCTCGCAGAGAAGCAAGAAGAAGAATCTCTTTCTGAAGGAACTCCAGAGCTTTGCATATCCTCATCCAGTTTTATGGGAGATCTGTAGTTCTCACGGCCAATAGGCCACTTTTGTTACCTTTTCTGGAAATCTCACACGATTTTACAAAGTTTGATCTTGCTCGAACAAGTGCATGTTTATTTTTCTTAGGAAGTGCTCTGAAAGCCACACCTCTGTCCATTAGAAACCTTCCCCAACAACCAGCATCACCACAAACACAACCGGGTTTGGAACTTAGGAGGGGAGCAACCAGCAGAAGAAGCTCACCTTGAAAAGGTGTTTGATTTTGATGCCTGACACCAAGTCCGAAGGCTCCTCCTCTATGAACTGACTCTTCAAGGCTTTCTCTGGGTCTTCCTCCTCTTCCTTCTCTTTTCCCAGAACAGTCTGGGGGCTCCCACACCAGTAAGAAGGCTAAAGAAACAAAGAGAATCCATCATTCCTTTCCAAAAAAAGTGACCCAGGAAAGAATATCAGAAGGTTCTTTTTGAAAGTATACAAGTTTTCTTCCTCTCTGGAGGAAATGTCCCTCGTGAATGACAGCAAAACTATTTCTGAAGGCTGTGAAATCCACTTTTCCAAGCAGAAAGCCAAAAAGATGCTTTTCAAACATTGATGTGCACAAATCCCCAATACTGTACATTATTGCAAAATACATTTTTAATCTTAATAGTCTATTGATTGATTGTCTGCCATTAAGCTAGTGTTGACCTTTAGTGACCACGGCATAGATAGTTTTTTCTATAGGAAGATTTGTCTTCAACCTGGTTTACAGTCTCTTAATTTTTATTTATGTTATATGGTGAATTACACAGTCTCTTATTGTATACGGATAAAACCTAGGCAGCTTAAATTTTCGCAAGATATCAATGTTGACAAAGTGGCGGCTAAAATTGTAAGTACCTTTTCCAACACACAGCTTGGAATGTAGGTTTGTTCTCTCTGCTAAAATAATTAACCCAAACATATATAGGAGAAGGGAAAAACTCACTTCTTGTCAGATAGGTGGCTATGAAAATTCAACAGACAGATGATGGATGGATGGATGGGTAGATAGGTAGATAGATATTAGATAGAGAGATAGATGATAGAGAAATAGAGATAGAGACAGATAGATGGGCAGATGAAGAGAGAGAGAGAGAGAGGCCCAATGCTTACCATGACAAAGAAATACCAGGGTTGTGGAATGCCATATTCTCCCGGAAACACGTTCTCCATGTACCAAGCAACAAAGCCATAGATTGCAGAATCCAGGAGAAGCATACCCAGCACATGAGCCATTGTGAAGTTATCATCAACACTGACAGCTCTCATCAGGTTTCCCCACTGTATCCCCGTGCCTGGAAAATACAAGCTTTTCTTTATTTATTTCATTAATTAAACTTATACGCCATCCATCTCCACCATAAGCCGACTCTGAGAAGTTCATAGACCATAAATAGTAGAAAAGCAGTTAAAAATTTAAAACCATGTAAATTATTTTTTTTAAAGTATATAAATTTGGAAGTGCAAACTTTTAAAACAAATAAATAGCATGCTAGAAAAATAATTTACATGGTTTTAAATTTTTAACT